ATGATGTTTTCTTTAATTTTTTTAAATTATATTTGAATTGGTAATTCATCTCCATTTAATTTTGTTTGGAGAACTTCTTAATTAAGTTTATTTTTTAGTTATATATTTAAATTCAATTTTTTTAATTTAACAATATATTTTTATTTTTTATATAGATGAATTTTATTTTTAAAAATAAAAAATATTTTTATGTAATATTTTTAATGTGTATAGTCTTGTATGATTTTTTTTATTTTATTCAATCAATTTAATTTATATTTATACTTGTATTATCATTTACTTAAATAAAAAATAAATTTAATAAATACAACCAAGTAAATATCTTGTCTTTCCAGATTAAATATTTTAATTTATATTTATTTTTTGATTTGTCAAGTTTTATTTTTAAATATTATTAATGACTTTTTATTTATTTATTTACATACATAGTTTTTGATTTATTTAATTATATATATATATATATAAATTTTTTATTTAAATTTAGATTTTTTAAATTAAAAAAATACATTTAAAAAATTTATATATAATTTGGAGTACCTGTGCCCACTTCAAAACATAGCTTGGATTTATTGGCCCATCTTCATGCTTAATTACATTTCAAAATTGAGAGACGCCTTAAAACCCTAAAAAAATCACAGGTAATTGGAGTCACAGTAAGTTTGAGGTCGTGACTTATGAGAGATTTTAATGTTTTAATTTTGCCTTATTTTTTTTTTATCATGTTTCCTTTCTACCCTTGATGACAGCTCTAGTTCTTCAAGGTAACTATCCTTTTCCCGCATGGCTTGAGCTGGTCTATGTTCCAATTAATTTTAGTTTTTTTTTTAACTCTAATTTTTAATGGTATGTTTCCAATTAATTTTTTTAATAGTATATTTTCTTCAGGGCAAGTATACTGTATATATTCAAGTTCATGTTTCTTATTATGGATGCATAGTTACCCTTTAGAAGAGAAAAATTGGACTGTTTTCGCTGGTTGATCGGTGATAACAGTACATTATGTGGCGGCGTCGTTTTAAATTATTGTCATGGGATCTTCGAAATAAATATTTATATTTTAAAGTTATTTGTATGGTTTATAAAATACTATAATATTTTTATTGTATTCTATTTACCCTTATCTATCCTAAATTAAAAATATTTCATTGTGCGGTGGCATTGTTTAACATTTCAAGATTTGTAATTTAGATCCCCAGTAGAAAATAATTATTAGCCAGGGGCGGTTGATCTAAAAATATGATATGCCAGATAAGTCTTGTCTGCCAGATAAGTCTCTCTCATCGCCGTCAAAATGTTAAATATGATATGCTGAATATTATTATTACTCCCATGAAATGGAGGAAAGTGGCAAGAAAAATTGCGCATGATGTAATGAGCTAAGTGTGTTCAATTGGATAACTGGGTGGGTGGCAGGTGTATCCGGCCCACTCCTGAAGAGCTGGAGGATTTCGGTACTCCGGACTTCACTATATACAATGCAGGTCAGTTCCCATAGCTATGTTTGATTTTTAAATTTATTTTTTGAAAATTTTTTTGTATTTATTTTTTATAAAAAAATTAGTTAATAAAAAATACTTTTCAGTTAAAAAAAAATTAATTTGGTTTTTAAGAAATTATTTTTCTAGAAAATTTAGACGGAAAACACTTTCTGAAAGTTGTTAAAACTTTTAAAAATATTATATTATTTGCTGATTATATCAAATTTGGTCCTCAAACTTTTGATTGCTATATATATTTTATTTTGAATATTTATTTTTTAATTTTATCTCTTAAAATTAATTTTTATATTAACTTTGGTCCTATTTTTATAATTTTTATTTGTTTTTTTCTTTTTTCCTATTATTTTTTTATTGAAATTCTTTATCTATCAAATTTGGTCCTCATTCTTTTTATTGTTACTTATTTTATTTAAAATAATTTATGAAATGTTAATTATTATTATTTTAATTTATTCATTTATTCATTTTTTATTTTTTAGATTTGATTTCTATTATTTTGATTATTATTTATTTTATTTGAGATAGTTTATAAAATTATATTTTTTTCAATTTAATTTTCATTCAACTTTTTAATTTATAAGATTTATTCCTTATTATTTTAATAAACTTGAGAAAAATAAAACATTAATAAGTTATTTTTCAGCTTATTTTTTATGACATAACCAAATATTGAAAAATATTTTCCAACTTATTTTTTATTATATTACCAAACATCAGAAAATAATTCAACTTTTCAAAATTTATTTTACCAAAACAAATTACTTTTTAATAAACAAATGTAGCATAAACATTATACATACTACATCACATCCTCTACTACCTCTACTAGTACAGATCTCAACCTTACTAAAAGGGAAATGGTCATCCTCGGCACACAGTACGCCGGGGAAATGAAGAAGGGTCTGTTCAATGTAATGCATTATCTCATGCCTAAGCGTCAAATCCTCTCCTAACATTCTGGCTGCAATATGGGAAAAGATGGAGATGTTGCCCTCTTCTTTGGACTGTCAGGTATAGTATCACCATGTCACCTGGTCGCGACATGGTGCCATGCCTGCACAATGATACATGCCTAAATCTTACTTTCTGCATGCTTAACCCCTTCATATCTTTGTTTTAATAAAGCATATATCTGGCCTCTATTTATGCCCATTTCTGTTTCTCATCATTTGCCATGTTATTGATGAGTCCTGTGAATTTTGATGATTCTTGTATTAGGTACCGGGAAGACAACTCTGTCTACTGATCCAAACAGATATCTAATTGGAGATGACGAACATTGCTGGACTGAGACCGGAGTGTCAAATATTGAAGGCGGATGGGAATTCGAACATTTCTTTTGATCACGCTTAAGTGAAAAACTCTTGATGTTGATATTGTTTCCCTCGCATACTTGCTTATAAATATTATTTAAAAATATTTTTTTAAAAAACAAATTATTTATATGAAACATTAAGAAAAAATATAGATGAATCAAAACAGTATTTTTAAAAATTATATATATATATATATAATAATTTAAAAAACAATTTTAATATACCTCTTTGATTTTTTTTATTATTATTACTTTTAACTTCACACTTATATTTTTTGTCTGGCTGGATCCGTCCATCTTTTTTTTTCATCTTATCCTTTCATGATCTATTCCGTCAAATAAAAAATTCAATTATAGTAGAAAAACAGGTTTAAAAGAGAAAGAATCACAACGTAAAATATAAATAAAATATATAATGATTTCAAAGTTTTTAAAAATTTATTTTTGATCCGGGAGTTCATCTTATTTATTTTTTAGTTTTCGAGATTAAAAAACCAACTCTTTGGAAAATGGTGCAATAAAGGAAAAATTATTAATTAGCCATATTTTATCCACAAAAACAATTAATTTTGATATCAATAAACTTAATTGAACTAGGAGAGTTTGATGAAAGTGTTTTCATATTTTTATCTTGTTAGAGAAAGTATGTTTGGGTTAAGAGATTTTATTCGTGTTGAATTTTTTTGGTTTTTTAATGATACAAGAGTATGCTTGAGTTGATAAATTAGTTCATCAACACTAAAAGAAGATACAGATAAAAAACATCAAAACTAAAAAGAAAAGTGTCTTTCTATATGGATTTGCCTTTCACTTTTAGAAGAAAAATCAATTGTTTATTTAAATATTCACCTAACACTAACAACTCTTTTTTATTTTATCAAAATTATATATTTTTTAATTTGTTGTAGCAAGAGGTAAACAATATGTTTGCATGTCTTGATTAAGAAAAATTCATAACATTTGAAAGTACATCCACGACACTAACACATTATCTTATTACATTACATTGATTTATACTTCTATTATAACCAATAAAACTAGATCCCTTTACAAAATATAAAGACAAAATGACATGATTAAACTATACAAGATCTCACATGGATTAAACCAGGGCCATCACGCCAAGTGTTTGTTTAGTAATGTGACGTGGAGGCATGAGCTGTCCATCACGCCCTTTCGCACACTCCATGATATGTTAGATGTGTATTTGGTACTGCAATAGATATTTTTTAATAAAAAATATGTTAAAATAATATGATTTTTTATTTTTTTATATCAATATATTAAAATTATTGTAAAATATAAAATAACATTAATCTAATCAATTTTAACCGTTAATTTAATAATAATCTGCACCGGCCGCGGTTGTATTTATCCGTCGTGCTTACATTCCGATAAGAAGACAAAGATTGCTTTCGAGTTATGGATAACAACAAATACAAATATTATACTAACATGACAAATGTCGTCAAATGGCTAGATTAACATGTCTGTATTTCATCAACCCAGAAAAGACAATGCATTTCAAATCCAGTATTGCCGTATTGTTTTGGTTTTTTATGTTTGTTTCCAATAAAAAATTTAAATGATTTAGTTGATGTTTTAAAGTGTGATTTAGATTATTTTGAAGGTATTTTTTATTTAAAAATATATTAAAATATTTTTTAAAATTTATTTTTAATATCAATACATCAAATAATTCTGAAAACTAAAATAAAATTTAATTTAAAATTAAAGAAACACATTAAAACTTGAAGAAAAGCCAGCAGCTCCAAGCAGGGCATCAACCATATCATCCTTGTATGTCGATTGAAAATAGATAAGAGATAAATATAAAATTATTTAACGTATATTCTGAGGAGAAAAAAAAGTAGAAAAAAACAAAAACAAACACTACTTCTTAAATAAATAAAAAACTAAACATGCCTAAATTGTACAAGAAAGAATTTTAATTCGTAGCGCCCTTCACTAAGCATAACCTCAGGATAATCGAGGTGTTAATTATTCAAGGGTAAATTGTTTTTTTTTTTAAATGGTTAAAATATTAACAATGATTAAAAAATAAAATAAAGATAAATTGGCAAAGCTGGTGACCCATCAAATCAAAGTGACGCATGCAACTAGAAATTAAAAAAGACGAGTCACCGCCTCTTCATTCATCGTCACACGGTTGACGGTATCCTCATTATTCGCATATCCTCCCTGTTCGCATAGAACGTTTGGGTTGCACACGAGCATATCCAACCTCCTTCGAAGAGAGAAGAAAAGAGTCAGGATTCTCTACCTCTACCAAAACCAGTTTCAGTGGAGGAGCAAGTAATTGAATGGGGAGTGCGATAGAAAAAGGAGTAGGTTTACCGTACAGAATATTGGAGTCCTCTTCTTCTTCATCTGCTGCTTCAGATGAATGGAATCCAACGGACACTGTGCTTTTCTTTGGGTTCAGTCTGCTGCTTGGGATTGCGTGCAGGCATCTGTTGAGAGGCACCCGAGTCCCTTACACTGTTGCTCTTCTCGTCGTCGGCATTGCTCTTGGATCCTTAGGTAATTAAATGCTGTTGTGAGTACGGTAGTACCAATCATAGCCTTTTCTTTTCTCGTTCTCGATTTATTATTGTTATAATTGTAATCACTTGGCTGTGCAGAATATGGTACCAGTCATAAACTGGGAAGGATCGGGGATGGAATTAGGCTCTGTAAGTTCATTTTATTAAAGCCTTGACAGCCTATTATTTATGATAATAGTTTAGTTGATGTTCCCTAATTGTAATTGAATGATGCAGGGGCACATATTGATCCTGACCTTTTACTGGCTGTTTTCCTTCCTGCCCTTCTTTTCGAGAGTTCCTTTTCAATGGAAATCCACCAAATTAAGGTTTCTTTCACTCTCTTTAAAGTATTACTTCTACAACTTCAGCAGACACTTTTTCGTGAGTGATCAAGAGGTTAAGTACGAGTCTAATGGTTTTGAAGTTGCAGAAAACGGAAAGTTGGTTGCTTTCGTTTAGGGTTCGATGCGTTGTACTTCATATTTGATCATACAACATGAGGACAAAAAGTATAACTTCGCTGAATTAATGAAATCCCCTATGTTAGATAAGTTTATTTTGGTTTCTAATGTTTTGTACCCCGAGGAAAAATTTCCAATTAAGATTACGGATTGATAAATAATATTAATGGCCAGACTTGAAATCAAACATTATTTGGCAGTATTATACTACTTTTACATGCATGCATGTAGTTTCTCTTGGCTCTTTGTTTTATCTCCTTATTAATTGGTTTGGTTCCTTCGACACCTCATGTAGTTTTAATTTCCTAATAAAAATTCTGTTGATTCTGTTGATTATTTGCCACCGAAGTTTAGCTACTTATTGATTATTTTGCCAGCGGAGTGTAGCTACGTGTCTGTCAATTTAGGTTTTTTTTGGGTTCATGTCTGTCAATTTAGGTTTTTCTTTTTTGTGGTTTGAATGAACCAGCTGCTTTTTGGCAATTTTTCTGTAGAGGTGCATGGGGCAAATGCTTCTACTTGCTGTTCCTGGAGTTCTAATTTCGACATGTTGTCTTGGATGTGCTTTGAAGGTACCCTCCAAGACTACAGTTTTCTTAATATGCTATACTCCGCTTGTTATTATATTAATGTGCAATTTAGCCCGCTTGTTGTAAAATTACTGTGCCATTTAATGCTGCAGCTCATTTTCCCATATAACTGGAGTTGGACAACCTCTTTGTTGCTCGGGGGACTTCTGAGTGCTACTGATCCTGTGGCTGTTGTTGCTCTGTTGAAAGAGCTTGGTGCAAGCAAAAAATTGAGTACAATAATCGAAGGAGAATCCCTGATGAACGATGGGTATTTATTTTTTTTCGTCTTTTTTTTTTGGGGCCTGACAGTCTGTATAGATAATTTGACAAATCTGAGCAGTTGAAACCAGCAAACTAAGAATAAATGCATGTGTGAAAAATACAGTCTTATTGTTATTCTTATCTTCAATCATCTTCTATTGCCTTTAATTTCTATGTCCAGGACAGCAATTGTGGTCTATCAGCTATTCTATCGGCTGGTCCTTGGGGAGAGCTTTAACTCGGGTGCCATAATCAAATTTCTAACTCAAGTTTCGCTTGGAGCGTAAGTATCAATTACTTTTAATATGCACTGAGTGAAGGATTTCACTCTTGAAATGAAAACCTTTTCTTGATCCAGTGTAGGCATTGGTATTGCTTTTGGAATTGCATCTTTTTTGTGGCTCGGGTTCATCTTCAATGACACAGTGATAGAGATTGCGCTGACACTAGCTGTGAGCTACGTTACTTACTTCACTGTATGTTTCTTTCCTACTCAGGACTCCTTTTAAATTTATCTATTCTTTGTCTGAATGGCTAGTTAAGTGTTAGTCACCATATTTGCAAAATATATTAGCGAACATTTTTTGAAGTCTGCCATTCTAATGGGTGCATCACAAGGTCATTTATTTCAAATTGCAAATGACAGAATAATGTCTATCAGAAAGCTTGAGTTTTGCATCCAGTGATGGATTTGATGTCTACTTGGTCATTACCTTTTCTCCTCCTCTGTTTCTCTGTCTGTGACTATGGTTGGTCTTCAATCCCTGTTCAGATTTTTGGCTGGTTTTATTGTTTCTTATCTCTTTTATCTTTTGCCTAAGGATAGGTTCCAGCATCCGTTAATCCTTATGATGCTTCAAAATTGATCTCGTTGTTCATTGCTTAGCTTGATTTTAACTAGCTTTCCATTTCAAGATTCAATGTTCAGGAAGTTTCATAAGGATGGAGCCATTTCAATGGTGCTTGTTTTATTTTGTTGCAAAGTTTCTCCATGAAACAAATTATATTGGTGCTTGATTTTTTATCTGAAGTAAGAAATGCTTTCAATGAGAAATTTAATTTCAGGCTGGTGTTTTGTGGATCGTGTCAAGGGATTTAAGATCTTTCAATCTTGAGGCGGATTTGGTGTATGATCACATGGAATGTTGCGAAAGGATCCATATAGCCAACCCCAACAAGTTTGGGAGTAGGGCGTGATTGTTGTTGTGTAATCTTGATAAATTTATAGTGATCAATGTTTATAATTCTCATGGCCATCTTATTCATTGGTGTTATTCAGCATGTTTATCCTGCTCATCCGTTATCAAAATACAGTTGAAACTGTAATTGCAGAAAGTGGCTTTACAAACTTATGACCTGTTATCAAAATCATTTCCCGTCTTTTTGGCATAAGAAACTGAACTTGCATTTTTATTTGGTAGGCTCAAGAGGGTGCTGCTGTTTCTGGCGTTTTGGCAGTGATGACTTTAGGAATGTAAGTTGATATATTATGAATAGTTTCTTAGCAACTTGGAGAAATGATGTCTCTTGATATATCACTGGACAGGTTTTATGCTGCAGTAGCCAGGACTGCTTTCAAGGGTGATGGCCAACAGAGCTTGCATCATTTTTGGTATGCTTAATGCTCACTTGTTTCATCTAAGCAGCCTCTCTCTCTATTTGAAAACTACAAGGGTCTAAGTAATGCATGTCTTTTTTTATGATTATGTTCCTTAAGAAAGAACAAATGATGAGAAACTGTTGTGTTAATCCATTAGAAACCATTTACCTCACACGATGAGTTTGGTTTTTGCATATAGTAAAAGTTTGGATTATTAATGCACGATAAATATTTTTTGGGGAGATTATCTGATAAATATCTTTTGGGGAGATTATCTTGTAGAAAACTATATCTTGTACTTGGTCTGCATGTGTTTGCTTTTAAACATTGATTCACCACTCTTTAATAGATTAAATTATTTTAACACCGTTGAAAAGGTGAGGTAGGAGATGAGAAAGACAAAAGTAGAAATTTGCTGAAGATTAAAGAATCTAGGTAGCGAATCTGACAGTACACTTTCAATCTTAAGAAAGGATAAATAGAGTGACAAGAATTATCTCTTTTAACTTCTAGGAGTATATTTTGAGATATTATATATGCATAGGAGAAATGGTGCATTAGGATATCGCAATAGAGCATAATGGATGTATTTACATGGGCTCTTAATAATTTCAAATAAGTTTGTTTGAGAATGTTGGGCGATTGAGGCAGACTGCAAAAGACCTGAGATGCTACACTTTTAAAATCAACAGATGGTTTATTTATTGCTTGCTGCTACTAATGTAACCTTTGTCCTAATTAGAGCCATGACAGTTTTAAATTTCTGACAGTCACTGCAGAAACTGAAGATAACAGATAAATTCTGAAAGGAAACCTGAAAATAATATAGCCATCTGCTGATGCCAGAACATGAGTGGGATTGATAATCTGAATGAATAAATTTCTTGTTATCATGTGAATGGAACTTTCCAACAAGATTGCATGTTTAATCCATTTCACATAATTTTTTTTCTTTCCAGGGAAATGGTTGCTTATATTGCAAATACATTGATTTTCATCTTAAGGTAAGAGATCAATTTACCATATCCTTAAGCTGTAGCTGTACATCATGTATGCTTGGATGGATTTAAAGTCTAAATTTATTTTTGGTTAGATGTCAATGATTATGTTATTGAGACAGGAAAAACATAAATAAAACCACAAGGTGTTGATGAAACTAGTTGACATCATAAAACCGGTATGAAACTCGTGATGCACAAGCCCTTTAATCCACACTTTCTTTCCAGTCTGGGAATGAGATTAGCGGAGAATGTTTGTTGTGTTTGCGATATTTAATAACTACATTAGGTAAAAAAGAACATAAAGGACTGCCAATCAGCTCAACAAAGGGGAGCAGTATGCTCTATGCTTTGGATGATTGAATTGTTGAATTAAATTTGAATTTTGTCTTTTATGTTCAATTATCAGAAGAAGAAAAATCCTTTAAGTACATTGCATCTTTTCTGCCTAATGCCTATTCCACGTAGAATGAGACTTTAGCCTTTACAAAAAGTTATCATTGTTGATTGTTAATTACTGAAAATGTTTATTTGCTAAAGAATACTCGTCTTTTTGGCTGAGGGAGATAAAGGAAACTTTAACATGCACTGGAGACTATCCATTTAACTGATCCATGAGATTGTCAGAGTCATCATATACCTTTTCAGTTCAATACTAAACCGTTGTCATTGGGGATCACACTAACTGATGAGGCATACCATTCAATTACTTTGACTTGAGCTATTCTGCTTGTAATTGTTGTTGTTGTTGTATATTTTTTGGCTTCTATCTTGTTGCTATTTTAGAGTATAGTATTCATAATTAATTGCGAGATTCATTAAAGTCTGATGCTCTTTTTCCTTTGCAGTGGTGTTGTTATAGCAGAAGGTGTTCTGAGCAGTGGCAATACTTTTCATAGACATGGTATTTTCACTTTTAAACTACACATCCCTACATGTATACAATACACTGTTTCCTTTTACAACAAAACTCATGCATGACTGATATACAACTTGCATACTGTGATTTACTGGTAGCTAGCCTTGAGCTAGTTCAAAAGGGTCGGTAATGTAGAAGAGAAGGTTTTGCATTTTATGAATTGGTTATAGGTTTATTAGTTGTAGAAATATTACCAATTTACTTAGAAAACTATCTAATAATTATGAGATTGACTTGAGGTTCAACCCATGAGATTGTAATTATATTCCTATTTAGTGCATATTTTGTGTGTAAATAGCCTTGAAGTTGCATATACATAAGTTAACGAAGATTTAATCTACTATGGTTCCTCATCCCTTTTTAGTTTTCTTAGATATTCTACTTCTTTAAATTCTGATATTACAGATTGTTTCAAAGTTCATTAACTTTGATAAATGTTATGGAATATATTACGGGTCCCAGGTCCCACGCACTTGAGCTGATGGTGGAAGACCATTGTGAACATGTGAAAACCCACCCAAAAGGTCATGAGGTTCTTGAAGACCCTTTTTGATAAGCTAACATGGTTTGAAGTTCACTTAAAGTCAACCAAGTAATACAGGACCTTTAGGGTTGATTGATCAAGGCTCAAAGCCTTAGAAGTCAGCCAAAATCAGCCTGGTATACCTTGTGGCTTTGGAAGACTGGATTTAAAGGATGGAATTTAGAGTGCCCAATAAAAATAAAATAAAATAAAATGTTGGTAACTCAAATAGATAAAATTAAAGGTGAAGCATTGAAATAAAAAAATAGCAAACGGTAGGGGACCAATAACATATAGTTTTAGTTTTACTTATTTTATTTTTGGAATTTTTGAATGTCAAATGTGTGGGATATTTGATTATCAATCATTACGCTATTAATTTTTTTGAAATAAAATTCCTTACTATATACTTTTGTCATGATTATGAAATTTTTGATTATATGAATTTAGCAACATGTGATATGCATATGTTGCTATAATTGAATAAACAAGATCATCTTTGCCTGCTCATGAGTGTGAATGTAATACCATTGGGTCTTGGGTTCAAATGCTACCTTTCATGACATCAATGAGTGTAATGGCTTGGACTGACCTGTTTCAACATGTATGGGGTTCATCAGGTCAATTTCCTAACTGGTCTCCCTTGGTCAATTACTTTACCAGTTCAAGTTTTTATAACTGACCTGGCTCAATGGTTAGTTGCCGGAGTTTCTGTTCCAAGCAATCTGGTAGGACTAGATTTAAGAATATACGAGTCTTTTATGTCTGATACTCTGATGCATATCTGAATTTTATTAATTCTCTGTTATTACAGTGGTAACAAGTCTGATAATCATGGATTCTTGTTAGTGATGCATTATTACTAGATTTTTTTAAGAGTAAAGCTAAGGATATGAAGAGAGATGCAGTTTTTGGCATTTAATGTGATGGTTTAAAAAAAGTGATATAACACTCACCACGAGGTGCCACATTGTTAGTAAAGACTTTCAAATTTTTTTTTTATTATGCCCAGCACAATTCATATTTTTTTATAGGTGAATATACACGTGTCTTGGTCTTTTTTCAGCGCATACATGGGGCTACCTATTTCTTCTATACGCTTTTGTGCTACTATCCCGGTTCATAGTTGTTGGAGTATTGTATCCAATTTTACGATATTTTGGTTATGGTTTGGATTGGAAGGAAGCTATCATTGTCATATGGTCAGGTCTTCGAGGGGCTGTTGCATTATCACTTTCATTATCTGTTAAGGCAAGTTTTCATTGATTCACCTAGCTATTTAATTTTCTATTCCATGCTTCGGTAACATAATATCTCCATGCATTCTTTGATTTAATTCTTTTGGATCCTTGTTTATGTTTGAAATTCCTCACTGACCATGAGATTGTAAATGCGCGAGCACAGAGTGTGTTTTTGAAACAAAAGGTTCTTCATAGCTCCCATGACCTAAGATGACTTACATGACACATTTATTCCAAGCATATAGATGGTTGATGTCCATCCAAAGCTTTCTGAAGAAAATTGTGTCCATAAAGCTCTCTATCATATCTAAGCTTCTTTTGTGCTGTAATTTACTTCTATTGATATTTACTTGTATGTATCAGCGCACTAGTGACAGCTCAGTTTATCTCAGTTCTGATACAGGAACCTTGGTGAGTTCATTGAACATACAAACTATTTTATTTATTTGTTCCTTGAATTTATATCGAGTCCTTTGTCAAATATATGCATCAGACCATTTCAAGAATATAGAAATTTAATAGAGTAACTGATTTTTTGCAATTTGATTGATGCTTTATTCTCCACCGTTACAGTTTGTTTTCTTCACTGGCGGAATCGTATTTCTGACGCTTATTGTGAATGGGTCAACTACGCAGTTTATTTTACATCTTCTAGATATGGATAAGCTATCAGCTACCAAGGTGAGGTTTACATTAATGTCTATAAAAGAAACTTCAATTTGAATCCGATATTCTGAAATCAGTGATGTTTGTGATTTTGTTCTATACACAACATTGATATACCTATCTCATGGAGGACAAAGCAATAATTCTAGGATTATTGCCTCAATTATTAAGTTTTTTTTTTTTTATCAATTATTAGGAATCTTTGTGAATGTCATATTAAAGTCATCATATGGCAATTCAAATTATTTCCTATTAGTTGGAGCGAAATTCATTTTTTCAATTTAAAATTTCTATTCCTTTTTTGTTTGGGTATTTGGTTTCTATTTAAGAGCACCTATTGTCATGCTTGAGTAAAATTTATTTTGATTATTGGTAGTTGATTAGAGAGAATGGAGACTGAAGTCATCCCAATTGTTCTTCTAGCTTTCCATTTCCTTTATTTTCTTCCTTCTCCAATTCTCTTTGCTTCTATTTAAGGACCACTTTGAATAAATAAATAAACGCCAATATATAAAGTTTAGGTAAAGTGAGATGGCAGAAATAGGAACTACAATCTTATTGGTTTCAAAATTCTGCGAACGTGTAAAAGGTAGCAAAATTGTGTTGATTTGTGTCCTATACCTAATTATAGACCAATAACACAAAAATACTCAAGCAGCTTTTTATACCCTTTTCTTGGAAAGGAAACGAAATGGCTGCTGTCAAATCAAAAGCTTGCATTTGAGAGGAAAACAAACACATATAGCTTGCATGATATAGATGAAAAGAGTAGAAATTCTTCCCTTATCCTGATAAGATCAAATAAATCAGGCAAGCTATCCACACAAGCCAAGAATGCCATGTATAAGCTCAATTCTCACTGTTCCATTGTCAAATTTTTACTTAGTATAGGCGATGTTGGCACCAAAAGGTCCTTGTAGTTCTAACCTAAGTAGGAAAGAGAACATCAAATAAGAAAAGAAAAATTATAAGTATTTGAAAACTGCTATTTAACATTTGAATGAATATACTAAGATTCCTAGATGGTAATATCTCTTAGGAAGATGAATTCCTTAATGAAATAGGCTTTCAAGAAATACCAAAAAAAATTCAAATAAAAATATTTTATCAATTTTTTTGTATTTTGGTTGCATGATCTCTGTAAATGGAGATGTGTTCTCTTATTTTTGCAGTAGTTGAGCGATGGAATAAAAGTTTTAGAGTTATTTTGAATCCTTGGTGCCTAGAGGTTTCCTCCTCCTCTTATTCTTCTTGTTTTTCTCATCTTTTTTCTTGTTTAAAAGCGCTGCTCCTACAGCACCCCAAAAAATCCTAGCTGCCACAAGTTTTTGGCGGGACACAAATCAAAACCTGTCCTTCATCAATACCACTCCCATGTTAAAAGTACTAGACAAATACCTTGTTAAATTCTACTGATATGCTTGTTATTCCTGGGATTTAACCTGGTTTAAGGTCACTAGATTGGAACTGATTTCCTCATGTCCAACTTTGTTGCCCCTAGACCAGATCTAAACTGTTCCATTACCATCATAAATTTTGTTAACACCGGTTCCCTGACCACTTTCCAGCGACTTTTTACTATTATTGCTCGGCCAATACCTTGTTGCCCCTGAAGGTCAGCAAGGAATTCAACCTTTCTGGCCTATGTTACCACTCTACTTGAATGAACCAGCTTAATGGCTGGGTTGAGTCTTCTTATGGGCCTTAGTGAAAAACAGATAAGATCTATGTTAGAAACTGTGGAGACAATAAAATAAGGTAGAAGAAACGCTTCAATAAAGTTCAGAAAGCTGTCGGGCACATAGAAGTCTCATAAATTTATCACGATGATTGTGATGAAAAGCAGCCAGTAACAACACCACAATTGCAGAAACAGCTAACTCTCTAGAAAATGAAGAAGAGACTGTTGAGAAATGCTCTCTTCGAAAGGTTGCAGAAAGTCTGGAGATGATTAGCCTAATTTTATGACTAAAATGAAGAACAGATCAAGGCCAGCACAGCATAGAAGTCAAATTAAGACTAAAATTGAGGCTGGATTTTTCCGAATCTCTAATTTTATGATTCATAATTAATCTGAGTTTTGAAATGCAAGGATGATTAACCTCTTCAATAAAGAAGCATATCAAGTCCATGTTTTGAGTTTAACACCATAAGCCATCACAAGCGGTTTTACTACTTTGAGATTTGTAAACGCAAGGATGAATTTTTTGCTTTTCCTGATCAGGGGATAAGATAAAGAAGCAAGCCTTCCAGGATTGTTAGTAGATTGATTAGTGTTATATATTATTCAGAGTTTTAGTTATTATGGATTTCATAATTTCCTGGTGTTTCGTGTATTTCCTTTTAAGGCAGTCTTGATTGGGACTTAAAATTTTTTTTCCATCACCTATGAATTTAGCTTCTTATTTTGTTAGTATTTTACCAGGGCATTTCTGTATGTAAATGAGTACCTATTATTATGTTCGGGAAAACATGACTTGATGGTTGATGAACACTATTTTTTTTCTTATTTTCCCCTCTTTTCTCTTCACTTCCCTCCATTTCTATTCCTTTCCCGAATCACTATTTATATTTTTCTTTTACAGCATTTATGTTGAGAATTATGCAAGTCATGGATGTATCCAGTATTGCTAAAAAAAACCGTTTCGATAAAAAAATAACTTGATCTGTAAATTAGTGAAAATACTACTCAATCTATCTTGTTTTTGTACATGTTGACTTTTTCTTGTCATTTGTAATTTATCTATCTTCTGCAGAAGCGTTTGTTGAACTTCACAAAGTATGAAATGTTGAACAAAGCACTAGAGGCTTTTGGTGATCTTGGAGAGGATGAGGAACTTGGACCTGTTGACTGGCCTACAGTTAAAAGATACATTCCAAGCTTAAATAGTTTGGAAGGGTCATGCGAACACCCTCATGGTGCTTCTGAAGCTGATAATAATTTAGACCCAACTAATCTGAAAGATATTCGCATACGCCTTCTAAATGGTAAATGTGCTGTTTTATTGCTACTCGGTATATTAATTTACTTGCTGATTGTTTTTCTGGGATTTGTTGGGCCCTTTGACAAGTGAAATAACCTTAAGTCAGCCTGCCTCTTTTCTCTATCTCCAACAGGAAAAGGAATTTTATGTGCTGGGATGTATGTTATTTTATTCATGGCACAGGGAATTGGATTAAAGCTGTCTTGTTTGTAGAAAAAGGGGTGCCTATAATTTTGTGTAGGATTTAATTTGAGAACTATCGGCTTGCAATGTAGTTAGTTTTGAGTCATAGAAATTACTTTATATTTAATTTTAGATAGTGAGAGCTGTTACTTCATGTTTAATTTAAAATATAAACAAAAAGATAAGGATAATCAGGGAGTAGTTATAAATGAGAAGGTATTAAGCATCCTTTTTTTTTAATTTACCATCTAGATGGAGACAGGCTCTTCTCTTGGCCAATCTATCATGATCACCTCTAGACTCATGTTGAAACATGTACACCATTAAAGAAAAGTATTAAACAAGACAAGAGAGAGAGGAGAAAGAACATTCAGCTTTCGGGAAAGAATTAGTTTCACAAGAATGATGCCTAATTAGCGTCTTTGAATTTGGACTGTAGCCCATGTAGTTGGCCTAAGGATTTCATTTTTGATTATACGAAGAATCTCAGTTGTAATTCTTTTCTCTCTCCTATGTGCTTTTGGGAAAAAAGTTTGAAAATATAAATTTGCCTTGGAGGACAACAATAACTTTTTCACTGTAATATTGTAATAAAAGTTCATACAAGGCCTAAAATCAGAAGGAAGAAAAGAAAAACATGCATTGCATCAATCAATAAATCCATCAATAATTGAAAGGACCATCAGCTCCACTAAGCAAAGGTTGCGAGTTTATAAATCCACATGAAAGCTTGTTATGTTACCTAGCGGATCTACAAAGAAGATGCTATTGTCATCAATGCATCAAAGTTCTGTTGTAGAAACTTTTTTAGAGTTTACATAATATCATTGAAAGTGGCACACTGTTGATTTGTGGTCTACATTGCACTTGCTTCTTAAATATTTGCTTTAGAGTTTACATAATATCATTGAAAGTGGCACACTGTTGATTTGTGGTCTACATTGCACTTGCTTCTTAAATATTTGCTTTAGAGTTTACATAATATCATTGAAAGTGGCACACTGTTGATTTGTGGTCTACATTGCACTTGCTTCTTAAATATTTGCTTTAGAGTTTACATAATATCATTGAAAGTGGCACACTGTTGATTTGTGGTCTACATTGCACTTGCTTCTTAAATATTTGCTTTAGAGTTTACATAATATCATTGAAAGTGGCACACTGTTGATTTGTGGTCTACATTGCACTTGCTTCTTAAATATTTGCTTTAGAGTTTACATAATATCATTGAAAGTGGCACACTGTTGATTTGTGGTCTACATTGCACTTGCTTCTTAAATATTTGCTTTAGAGTTTACATAATATCATTGAAAGTGGCACACTGTTGATTTGTGGTCTACATTGCACTTGCTTCTTAAATATTTGCTTTAGAGTTTACATAATATCATTGAAAGTGGCACACTGTTGATTTGTGGTCTACATTGCACTTGCTTCTTAAATATTTGCTTTAGAGTTTACATAATATCATTGAAAGTGGCACACTGTTGATTTGTGGTCTACATTGCACTTGCTTCTTAAATATTTGCTTTAGAGTTTACATAATATCATTGAAAGTGGCACACTGTTGATTTGTGGTCTACATTGCACTTGCTTCTTAAATATTTGCTTTAGAGTTTACATAATATCATTGAAAGTGGCACACTGTTGATTTGTGGTCTACATTGCACTTGCTTCTTAAATATTTGCTTTAGAGTTTACATAATATCATTGAAAGTGGCACACTGTTGATTTGTGGTCTACATTGCACTTGCTTCTTAAATATTTGCTTTAGAGTTTACATAATATCATTGAAAGTGGCACACTGTTGATTTGTGGTCTACATTGCACTTGCTTCTTAAATATTTGCTTTAGAGTTTACATATCTGACAATGTATTAGGTGTATTTTCACGGTGTTGAAGCTAGTCTTATGGCTTTATTTATTGACAGATTCTGTTTTCGTCAAAACTGAATTCTTCCTGGCTCCTTTTCTGATTGTTTTATGATTACATATACTGACATTAAAAGCATGTCTCGGTTTTTCTTGAAAAAAGAAAAGACAAGGAAACTGGGATTTTATTGGTAAATGTGTGCTTTGGAGAAGAACTTAGAATACATGTAAGTTAGTCTGGTAGCTCTTTCTTAGGCAAGATGTAGAACATTTCAATCTCTTAATCCTACTTTGCCTTTTAGTTTCCAGCAGGCGATCACATGTCAACATCTAATATTCTTCCGTGGCACAAAGATAAAATTTAAGTGATAGTTCATGTTGAGATTGCTGCTTATTCTAATGGTAGATTTTTTCTTTTTTGACTAATTTCATGAGGTTGTCTCTATTCTAATGCAACCTGCACTGGAGAGGACTTCTTTTGTGGATTCTGAGCTATTGGTTTATCTGCAGTATAACTCTTTGAAATCAAATTGCATTGGGAAAAAGGAAATAAATAGGAACAGCCAAATGAATTTGAGGATATTTTTTGTAGGAGGAATAATAGAAACTATAATTAGAAATTTCATTTCAGCTCCTTGACTTGGGTTTTATTATACTGTTCTATTCCTTTTGGTTTATCTTGAGTCTAGCTTTGATGAAATTCCTTTAGGATTGGTAGAGAGTAATATAAAACTATTCTTGGACCTCACTTACAGTTTAAATTATTAGATGGAGATGGTTCTTTGACATGATATCAAAGACTTGTTGACCAAGTGGTAATGAGTTTAAATCTCACCACTCTCATTCTAATTAATAAAAATTAATAACAAGGTAGTCTAGACTTGTGCAAGTTTTAAATTCAAAAGGCTTTCACTTGAAAGAATGTGCTAGAGATTAATATAAAAATATTCTTGGACCTCACCTAACAACTTAAGTTATTGGGTTGAAATGGTTCTTTGACAGGAATAAAATAAATAATTAGGAACCATCAAAAGGTTTTAGTATATTTATTCTAGGAAGAATAATAGAATTAGAAGTTCAATTTCAGTTCCTTGACTTGATCTATTATGCCGTTCTATTCCAACCTGGGCAAAGAATTCTTCTTCCTTCTGAATGCATTTGTAGTGCGGAAGAACACCCTATTAGCCATAGCAGTCAAGTTTGCTATTGATGATTGTTTGACTTTTGAACATTGAGGCTTCTAATTGCTTCCAAAATCTCTGTTTGTCCACTCTTCTCTCTTCTCATCTTATCCCTCTCCCTCTCCCTCTCCCTCTCCCTGTCCCTTAATTTTCTCTCTGCTGTTTCTTGGATGAATTGGAAAGTCCAATTTGTAGAGGCTCTGAGATGCCCTGCAATACCTGGATAATAGTAAATGATGATCTTGATTTAGGTATGACAAGTAATAGGTAGTTAGACTCAGACATGATTCCTACAATATAGTTTTTTTTCTTCTGTGTCGTAATGTATATGGGAAGATATTTTCCCTTGGGTCAAACATCTTCTTACCACTTTAAAAATGTTTCTGATAACAACCTGATTCTCGGTGGCTTCCAGTAAAGTGACATTTATTTCCTTTTGAAAGAGCATAACTGTTTTCCATGTATATAGTGTAGAATTCTGTGAGAAGTTTGACTTCTCCCTTTCTTATACTTCTAGGTGACAGTGGTATTGCTTCTTTAGTCATTAATGAAAGTAATGCAGAAGGAGAAGAAGCAAGAAAGTTCTTGGAAGATGTCCGTGTTACATTTCCTCAGGTTTGTAAGTTTAACTGTCCCTGTATATTTGTTCAGGTATAATGGATTCTGGTAGTAATTGATTAACCTAGGTTGGTGGGTCATCAGGTTTGTTTCATTCATATAGTTTATTGTAGATATAGCGTCTAAATCAGGGGATGTTAGAGCACAGTTAATTATTAAATACTTTTTCAGGTTTTGCGTGTTGTGAAAACAAGACAAGCAACATATTCAGTGCTGAACCATTTAATTGATTACGTCCAAAATCTTGAGAAGGTTGGGTTATTGGAAGAAAAGGAAATGCTTCATCTTCATGATGCTGTCCAGGTGATTTTGGTTTCATCCTTTACCAATTCTATGATCTCTGGTCAATGCACTTCAGTTTTTGTAAATTCGAGTTAAAATGTTTTAATCTTCTAATGCAGACTGACTTGAAAAGATTTCTAAGGAATCCTCCTTTAGTAATGCTTCCCAAAATAACTGACTTGATTAGTGTCCATCCTCTGTTGGAGGCCCTTCCTTCTATTGTGCGTGAACCCCTTGAACGTTCTTCCAAAGAAATAATGAAACCACGTGGTGTGCCCCTTTACAAAGAAGGCTCCAAGCCCAATGGTGTCTGGCTTATTTCCAGTGGTGTTGTCAAGGTAAATAACATTTATATCAGAAATTTTGGATTTGAGAAATTAGTCAGAAGTACTATTATTTTCCTTGGGAACAAACACATCACAATTTACCTGTGAGAAAATCATTGTTTGGCAGTGGACAAGCAAGAGTGTTAGGAGCAAACACTCATTGCATCCAACGTTTACTCATGGGAGTACACTAGGCCTGTACGAACTGCTAGTTGGGAAACGCTGCATATGTGACATAATAACAGATTCTGTGGTATTCTGCTTTTTTATTGAAAGCGAGAATATGCTTTCTCTGCTAGGGTCGGACCCTGCAATTGAGGATTTCCTTTGGCAGGTATAATTATACATTTTTGGTTTAGATTCAGCACATTTCTCCTCCATTAATGAAATTACTCACTCTGGTTAATATTTTGAATGAGTCAAGAATTGGATGTTTCCCCAATCCACATAATCTAGTTGCCTCTTAATGTCCGCCTACTTTGGAAGAGGGTAAAGTTACTTGAGGTATGCTGAGTATGATTATTGATCTTTACTTGAAGCTTTATTCCTCTTTCCTTTTCTTGTGTGGTGTTGCAGGAAAGTGCAATCGTTATTGCGAAACTCTTGCTTCCTCAAGTATTTGAAAAAATGCCAATGCAAGAGTTGAGAGCCCTTGTAGCAGAAAGGTCAGTGATGACCACATACCTCAGGGGAGAAACTATAGAAATACCTCATCATTCTATTGGCTTTCTATTAGAAGGATTCATAAAAGCCCATGGTTTCCAAGATGAATTGATTGCATCGCCTGCAGTACTTTTGCCTCCACAAGGAAATCAAAGCTTTCAAAAGATAGGGATGTCAGGTAATTTATGCTCAGTTTGTTTCAAAGTTAACGGATTTGTTTTTAGTTATGGAAAAATTGCAAAACAGCCGCTGACCTTCAAGTGCGTCTGTTACACTTGGACCTCTCTGTTACTTTGGTCCCTGGGACAACCACAATGACACTGATAGACAGAGGCATACACTCTCTTGAACCATCAAACAAATTCCTTTTTTTGGTACACAGGAGAACTAGAGGTCTAGTCACAACCCAAACCCAATAGCCTATCATGGCTCAAACACTTTCTCATCAAACATGGTACTTTCTCAATGAGCCCTCTGGGTACCAATCACCAAGCCACTGCTGGAAATAGGAATATATTTCACTCAGGATAATGTCAAAATTAGTCTTTGAATTTGTCTGGAATTTCTTACTTGAGTCAGTTTTTTTTCCTCCAAAAAATGTAGTTTTTGTTCTAATTTTCTTTTAAATTGGTCCAAAATGAATATTAAATACATTAATGCAGATGCTTTTTTTTTTATGTTCATAATGTCAACATCATCTGTGCATCCATGAAAATCCATAAATATATAAATAAATGCACGAACTTCTACTGAAATTTGATTCAACCAAAACATGCTTAAATATATAAACAAAATATATTTAAAATTTAAAAGACAAATACTAAGTAGAGTACTATCAAACTATTCGAAACGATCTATATATAGGATATACGGGAAAAAAGAAAAAAGAAAACATTATAGCACTATACCACCCAAAAACAAAATGGTTATATTAGCACTCTTTCTATTCTTTTCAATGACCTCCACACTTTAGTTCTTTTCATGATTATATATATAACACTCTTTTACAACTTTGGTATAGTTTTGACTATACTAGATTTAGTTTTTGTTGACAACTTAATTGATTGATCCTGAGTGAAATGATGAATGGGAGTATTTGATGAATTTGCATTTGAATACATAAATCGTCTACTGTTAATCATATGTTACTTGACCATTATGTGGACATAGATTGTTGGTGTGTTAAACTAGTCTTATTCAACCATGCCCTTTTTGGTTGTTGATTGTGGCAATTAGAAGGCATTTAAACCAGGTCACTGGCATCTTGGTTTAACCAGGTCACTGGCATTTTGGTTTACAGGTGCCCAAGCAGCCAGTTTCTCTCATCAAGGATCCCGGTATCAAGTTGAGGCAAGAGCAAGGGTAATCATTTTTGATATTGCAGCATTTGAAGGGGATGGTGCTTTGAGGAGAGGATCATCATCATTGGTATTGGGTGATCACCCCCACAGATATTTCACTAGAGAGCATGGTGGTCTTATGAGCTGGCCTGAAAATTTTTACAAACCAAGGGAACGTGAACAGAACGGTGTAGGGACTAGTCGATCAGAAAATAGCTTGTCTGTGAGAGCAATGCAGCTAAGCATATTTGGCAGCATGGTATGTTCACTATACATCTATCTGCAAAGATATGTTGCAAAGCTCCTCCTTGGGATCATTGCAAAAAATGCTAGAATTTTTATATTGAATAACTCAGGCTCAGGGACTTTATTGTTTAACAATTTAATCTTTCGTGTAGCCATTTGATATAGTTCATTGTGCCTCCATGCTATGAAAATATATAAAGAGGGAGCTCCAAATCATGGCTTGTGGCCATTAGAATTCATCATATTTCTTGATAATGGAACTTCACTATTTTAGGTCCTGATTATTTTGAATTTCTGGCTTCTTGTTTCATTTCATAAGGTTGACATGCGGAGGCATGCCCACAGCTTTTCTGGTAGCCAAGTCAAGCGATCACACAGCTTGTCAGTTTTAAGAACCGCATCGTGCCAGCAAGTTGGTGCCCCATCAGAAGAAGCTACTTATGCTAGGAAGAGTCTTGAAGTGAGAAAGTTGATTGGAAAAACTCATGCTCCCCCACGGCAGAGTACAGGCACAAATGAGACTCGTATCATTGATAATTACAGTGATGAATCTGATGCTGAAGATGAATTGGTGGGAAGAATTGATTCGCCTCGTACGCTGTCGTTCCATCATGCTTCTTAGTTTGCCTTGTCTGCCATTTCTGTTGTAATTGTTTAAATTATGTGACTTTTGGGTTTTTTATTTTATTTTATTTTATTTTAAGTGTTTTGCATACAAGGAACCGTTGTAAACAAGATGTAAAATGTCTATATTTCACGTGGATGAGCAATCCTTTCCCCGATAAATAGTGATCTTGAATTCCTGGGAGTTACTCAACACTGAAAGATGAGAATGAGAATCGAAAGGGCAATTTGTTCACTTGTTGAACAATTGACAAAAATTTCTGTCGATATTATATATAAATATAATAAAACAGCTCAAGGAGCATGAGTTGATTCCTGAACTTTGCTTTTGTCACTTGTGATGAGAGTTTCTGTGTCATGTTTCTCACCTTCAATCACATTTAAGGCCATTCATTCCGCTCAACAGAAGGAAGCCATTATTCCGGTGAATAAACGAAGGTGATTATGGAAAGTGGAAACACTGCAGCTCAGTGGCAAAGCAATGGATTGCTTTTACTGCTAAGCTCCCAAAAATTATTTGAACTTTGGGTAGGCTAGTGATAATACTAGCTGGTGCCATATGTCGTGATGATTTAATTCAGTAGGACCCATCTTAAGCATATTTCCTCGTTTTTCTCTGGATCTGGCATTTGATCAGTTGATCCCAGCCTTAAGTTCAGAAGTATTACTTTATTATCCAAACATCAACTCTCTTAGAGGTTCATGTGCTCTAAACACAACTGACTATTCATTGTAATAGTGAAGGTGTGCAATCGGCCTTGCAAGAAAATGGCTTGGGCATTGGGCCGAGAAAGTACCGTTACATAATTGTTTTTATCAATGTGGGGTTAAATTTGACATTTTTCTTTTTTTTGTACAGTAAAATCATTGTTATAGCCTTGGATTAAAAAAAAATTATGCTTTAGGCTCAAGATGTTTAGGTACTTTTTTTTTTATTGAGTATGGTGCATCTATTTTGACGCTCTTGAAAATAAAATAATCTTTTATAAGAATGTTTTCATTATTTTTTTATTGGTTTTGTTGTAGATGAGGTTTCTTAGTAGTGTTATTGTAATTATTATATATTTAATATTAATTTTAGAAAATTTTTTAGCATGTGTAACATACAAGCTATATATTGGTGACTCTTACATCATTTAAGTGGTTCATATAAAGTTGTCTAGCTATAAAAAATAGTTTTCTAATATAGCGTTAGGAAGATTTTAATATCCTTTATACAATGATATAACACATATAGACGAAGTATTGCTGGATTGGAGCAAAGATCTTTCTTTTCCTTTCCTCTCTTCAAAAAATTTGTGTCACCTATGCAAAATTTCAGAGCAATCCCTGCTAGTTTTTTTTCCTTCATGTTTGATATCTATTTTTTTATTATTTTTATTTTATTTTGGAATAAGTTATAAAATTACAAGTGATTTTTAATGTCACCCTCTTACTATTTTTTAATTTATAAATAATCTATCATGTCATTTTTAAATATATAGATCTATAAATAATCTATCATATTCCATATATTTTTTTAATTTTTCCTCTTATAATTTTTTTATCATTTAAATTTAATCTTCATTCTTTTAGTTATTATTTATTTTATTTTAGATTATTTTTTTAATTTTTTAATAAATTTCATCATCCTTGGTTTTTTTTTTTCTATAAAATTTTATCTTCATTGTTTTTTTGGTAAGTTTTTTCTATTAATATTTTTTTACAATTTCATCCTTCAAAATCAAAATTTTAAAAAGTTACACTTGATTGAGTCCACATATGAGATTTTACAATAATTTTAAGTAATATCAAGGTAAATTATTTGAGATTAATGATGTAGCATAAAATAATCATTTAAGATAATTTAATCAAATTAGAGAATACAGGGTGAGTAATTTCAAAGCATGGACATGCAGGGTAAACAACTGAGTTCCAGAACCGACAGCAGCAGCAACAATGACTTGTAGTATGGGTATCGGAGCACATCACCATGGATAAACTTTATCCCGTCTTGTCTTGGTTGTCAAATAACTCCTCATCATGGAAAGGCATGTAAGAGAGTTCAATAATCCAAAGGAAAAAATGAATTTAAAAAAAAAATAGTTTGAACTTTAGGTAGACAGATTCACGATATTCTTGCTCAAGATCTTTCTTAAGGATTCACAAGTAATACATCGAAATCTGACCAGTTAGGAAGAAAATAGTAACACATGAATTTAAGATTGAAAACCAATGGATCTCCCAGATATATGGCAGTGAGGAATCACCAAAGTACTTTCATCATTTTCTTAAAAGGGCTGCTAGTTTCCTTCCACGTCACAGTATATTTCATTTTCATGTGAACTTCCCTTTCCTCAATCAGTTCCACACAATCAGAAAGGTCAGTTTAAGCAGAGATCTCGATCAGAGATGTTCCTTATTGTAATATATGTTGAAATCAAAATCCATGTAGAGAAAATATCTATTCTTTTTGGTGTCCATTTTTCCTATAAACGTCCAAATTGACATGCCATCACAGTAAATTTGAATGTAATAGTCCTTCGCAACTGCATCTTGGAACTTCAAAACTTTTTCCTTTGTCAAGTTCTTTTCGCACACAACTTCAGAATCTTCATTTACTAGGAATTCAAGTTTATATGGAGAAGTCAAATATTGATCCCCAATCAATATGTCACGTAGAGTTTACTTCTTCTCATTGACAAAACCTGCGTCATTAGGATTGACCAGCCATTATAGACTAGACACCAACACATGACAAAGATTGATAGAAGATAAGGTCAAAACTAAAGAACATCAGTGCAGATGAAGATGAAATGTGGGTGACAGAATGGAAGATCATAGTAGCCATATATGTCACTACATCATAAAAGTAAGAAATGCAGTGTACTATTAGCAAATATAAATTAATAAGGCGTTATTAAATATGAAACAAGCAAAGAGCTGCAAGGAAAACTCAATCCAATAAGTTCATCAGAAAGACAAGTAAATATCCACAAATTTTTGAATAGAGAATACTACCTCGTTGTTTGTCTTCCAGCATAATAAAATAGGGATGGTTAATCACTTGTTTTTTTTTTTTTTAAGAAATGAATTCTACATAATTGAATGGCATGATATGCATAAAAACACATTCTTTTTCCGGAAAAAAATTGGAGTATTAAATATGTATTTAATAGTCAACTGAAAAGGAATATGAAATCTCCAGATTTACAAGCAATCAGCTCAAACCAATATTCACAAAGGAAATGCATGAATGCACTAAACGGTTAAGTTCTAAAACATTAGGGATCCAAATTAAGAACATACAAAACAAAAGATCTACATACATGGAGAACAAATATGTAGTGCATGCATGTTAAGTAAAATAAGGCAATTAAGATTCCTTGATGTAGAGATTGAGACATGTACCTGGGATTGTGATATGGACCAGTTGCCCTCGCGTAGCAAGGGAACAGATCTCCAGCTTTATAGCGATGATCAGATACATCTGACTGGACTTGACCTCCGCAACTTATCATGAAAGCAGCAACAACAAGAATCACAAAGAATTCTCCCATTTTTCCACCATTGAAAAAGAAAATACTGCATATAAACCTAATTTAACCTAAAAACATTGTCATCTTTATCGTTATTCATACTCATATCTTGTAAAAACTAGAAATTATCTATCCAACCCGAGAGAGGATGTCACTGTACACGGCAGGAAAACATAACTAAATATGAATCCACCAACAGAGAAGTGAAATTAAATACATAAAAAGAAAAAAACCCATCGAGTAAGTCTGAAACCAAACATTGTTTCAAACGATGTATAAAGAGAGAAACAAACCTTCAGAAAGTGTGATGCCCTGCTTGTATTATGATCAGAAAGAGCATGCATGGCAGATGAAGGAAGGGAAGAGCAGTGGAAGCGGATATAGAAATGGAAGGCCATTACTTTGTTGACTTTAACATTAACATTAACAAATTAAGTATTTATCTAAAATTTCTGGGTTTTTACGCAGCATTCTATCACGTATTATTGGTGCCGTGTAAAATTTTATTTTTTTATTTACTTGATTTTTTCTCTCACTTATTTTATTTGATTGATTTAATTTATATATATTTATATTATTATTTACTTGAATAAAAAATAAATTTAATAAATATAACCAAGTAAATACCTTAACTTTTAAAATTAAATATTTTAGTCTATATTTCTCTTAATTTATCAAGTTTTACTTTTAAATATCATTAATAATTATTTATTTATTTATCTACGTAGTTATTAATTTATTTAATTATATATATGTATAGATTTTTATATTTTAATTTAGATTTTCTAAATTAAAAAAATACGTTAAAAAATCTATATATAATTTGTGAGTACATTTCAAAACATAGCTTGGATTTATTGGCCCATCTTCATGCTTAATTACGTTTAAAAAATGAGAGACGCCTTAAAACCCTCAAAAAATCACAGGCACCTGGAATCGCAGCAAGTTTTAGGTCGTGGCTTATGAGAGATTTTAATAATTTTGCCTCCTTTTTTTCTTCAAGTTTCCTTTCTACCCTTGATGACAGCTCTAGTTCTTCAAGGTAACCATCCTTTTTTCGCATGGCTTGCGCTGCTCTACGTTCCAATTAATTTTAGTTTTTTTATTTTAATTCTAATTTTCAATGTATACGATGTATTTTTTCAGGTCAAGTATACTATACATGTTCAAGTTCATGTTTCTTATTATGGATCCATAGTTACTGTTTAGAAGACAAAAATTGGGCTGTTTTTGTTGGTTGATCGGTGATAACAGTACATTGTGCGGCGGCGTTGTTTTAATTTATCGTCATGGGATCTTTGAAATAAATATTTATACTTTTAAGTTATTTGTATGGTTTATAAAATACTATAATATTTTTATTGTATTCTATTTACCCTTATCTATCCCAAATTAAAAATATTTCATTGTGCGGTGGCATTATTTAACATTTCAAGATTCGTAATTCAGATCCCCGGTAGAAAATGGTTTTTCGCCACGGGCGGTTCATCCTGGCTACTTTACATGCGCTATATTGTCATTGTTAAATTTTTTTCAATAAAGTAAATAAGACATGCAAGTTTTATTTATATGTTTTTTAATTAAAAATTAAGTGTAATAAAAAAATTTATATGAAATCATTAATGATAATTACATATAAAACTAAAAAAATTAAGTGATAAATATATATTAAAATATTTGATATTTCTACATGAAATATTTATCCTATTATATTTATTAAATTTATTTATTAAAATAATTTTTTTATTTCTAGATTGTGCAAGAAATAATTTTAACCCGCAGGTCCTTTCACTAACATAAGGATATTCGAGCTGTTAATTATTCAAGGATAAATTATTTTTTTTATAAAACAATAATTAAAATATTAATAATAATTAAAAATAAAAATAAATTAAAAAAGCTGGTGACCACCAAATTAAAATAATCTATCAAATCAAAGTAACGAAGGCAACATTGAGGATCTTGACCTAATAGTAAGAGGAGTTTGTCTTTTTCCCTTCAGATTTAAGTTTTTATATGCATATTTGTTATCCTATATATTTTATATGTTTATTAAGTTTATAGGATATTAATGGATTGTGAAATTAATGATGATGAATGTAAACTGATCCGGATATTTATATAAATAAAAAAACAAAAAAGAGGTGATGTCGTCAACTAGAAATTAAAAAAACGAGTCACCGCCTCATCATATCATCATCGCGCGGTTGACCGTATCGTATCCTCCCTTTTCGCATATCCTCCCTATTCGCTGCCTGAACGCTTGGGCTGCACACGAGCATATCCAACCTCCTTCGAACCTCCTTCGAACAGAGAAGAAAAGAGTCAGGATTCTCTACCTCTACCAAAACCAGTTTCAGTGGAGGAGCAAGTAATTGAATGGAGAGTGCGGTAGAAAATGGATTAGATTTACCTTACAGAATATGGGAGTCCTCTTCTTCTTCATCTGCTGCTTCAGATGAATGGAATCCAACGGACACTGTGCTTTTCTTTGGGTTCAGTCTGCTGATTGGGATTGCGCTTTGGGTTCAGTCTGCTGTCAGTCTGCTGATTGGGATTGCGTGCAGGCACGTGTTGAGAGGCACCCGAGTCCCTTACACTGTTGCTCTTCTCGTCGTCGGCATTGCTCTTGGATCCTTAGGTAATTAAATGCTGTTGTGAGTACGGTAGTACCAATCATAGCCTTTTCTTTTCTCGTTCTCGATTTATTATTGTTATAATTGTAATCACTTGGCTGTGCAGAATATGGTACCAGTCATCAACTGGGAAGGATTGGGGATGGAATTCGGCTCTGTAAGTTCATTTTATTAGAGCCTTGGCAGCCTATTATTTATGATAATAGTTTAGTTGATGTTCCCTAATTGTAATTGAATGATGCAGGGGCACATATTGATCCTGACCTTTTACTGGCTGTTTTCCTTCCTGCCCTTCTTTTCGAGAGTTCCTTTTCAATGGAAATCCACCAAATTAAGGTTTCTTTCACTCTCTTTAAAGTATTACTTCTACAACTTCAGCAGACACTTTTTCGTGAGTGATCAAGAGGTTAAGTACGAGTCTAATGGTTTTGAAGTTGCAGAAAAGAAAGTTGGTTGCTTTCGTTTAGGGTTCGATGCGTTGTACTTCATATTTGATCATACAACATGAGGACAAAAAGTATAACTTCGCTGAATTAATGAAATCCCCCGTGTTAGATAAGTTTATTTTGGTTTCTAATGTTTTGTACCCCGAGGAAAAATTTCCAATTAAGATTACGGATTGATAAATAATATTAATGGCCAGACTTGAAATCAAACATTATTTGGCAGTATTATACTACATTTACATGCATGCATGTAGTTTCTTTTGGCCCTTTGTTTTATCTCCTTATTAATTGGTTTGGTTCCTTCCACACCTCATGTAGTTTTAATTTCCTAATAAAAATTCTGTTGATTCTGTTGATTATTTGCCACCGAAGTTTAGCTACATGTCTGTCAATTTAGGTTTTTCTTTTTTGTGGTTTGAATGAACCAGCTGCTTTTTGGCAATTTTTCTGTAGAGGTGCATGGGGCAAATGCTTCTACTTGCTGTTCCTGGAGTTCTAATTTCGACATGTTGTCTTGGATGTGCTTTGAAGGTACCCTCCAAGACTACAGTTTTCTTAATATGCTATACTCTGCTTGTTATGAAAATACTGTGCAATTTAGCCCGCTTATTGTAAAATTACTGTGCCATTTAATGCTGCAGCTCATTTTCCCATATAACTGGAGTTGGACAACCTCTTTGTTGCTCGGGGGACTTCTGAGTGCTACTGATCCTGTGGCTGTTGTTGCTCTGTTGAAAGAGCTTGGTGCAAGCAAAAAATTGAGTACAATAATCGAAGGAGAATCCCTGATGAACGATGGGTATTTAATTTTTTTCTTTTCTTTTTTTCTTGTACCTGACATTCTGTATAGATAATTTGACAAATCTGACCAGTTGAAACCAGCAAACTAAGAATAAATGTGTCTGTGAAAAATACAGTCTCATTGTCATTCTTATCTTCAGTCATCTTCAATTGCCTTTAATTTCTATGTCCAGGACAGCAATTGTGGTCTATCAGCTATTCTATCGGATGGTCCTTGGGGAGAGCTTTAGCCCGGGTGCCATAATCAAATTTCTAACTCAAGTTTCGCTTGGAGCGTAAGTATCAATTACTTTTAATATGCACTGAATGAAGGATTTCACTCTTGAAATGAAAACCTTTTCTTGATCCAGTGTAGGCATTGGTATTGCTTTTGGAATTGCATCTGTTTTGTGGCTCGGGTTCATCTTCAATGACACAGTGATAGAGATTGCGCTGACACTAGCTGTGAGCTACGTTACTTACTTCACTGTATGTTTCTTTCCTACTCAGGACTCCTTTTAAATTTATCTATTCTTTGTCTGAATGGCTAGTTAAGTGTTAGTCACCATATTTGCAAAATATATTAGCGAACATTTTTTGGAGTCTGCCATTCTAATGGGTGCATCACAAGGTCATTTATTTCAAATTGCAAATGACAGAATAATGTCTATCGGAAAGCTTGAGTTTTGCATCCAGTGATGGATTTGATGTCTACTTGGTCATTACCTTTTCTCCTCCTCTGTTTCTCTGTCTGTGACTATGGTTGGTCTTCAATCCCTGTTCAGATTTTTGGCTGGTTTTATTGTTTCTTATCTCTTTTATCTTTTGGCTAAGGATAGGTTCCAGCATCCGTTAATCCTTATGATGCTTCAAAATTGATCTCGTTGTTCATTGCTTAGCTTGATTTTAACTAGCTTTCCATTTCAAGATTCAATGTTCAGGAAGTTTCATAAGGATGGAGCCATTTCAATGGTGCTTGTTTTATTTTGTTGCAAAGTGAGCCATTTCAATGGTGCTTGTTTATGGTGCTTGTTTTATTTTGTTGCAAAGTTTCTCCATGAAACAAATTATATCGGTGCTTGATTTTCTATCTGAAGTAAGAAATGCTTTCAATGAGAAATTTAATTTCAGGCTGGTGTTTTGTGGATCGTGTCAAGGGATTTAAGATCTTTCAATCTTGAGGCGGATTTGGTGTATGATCACATGGAATGTTGCGAAAGGATCCATATAGCCAACCCCAACAAGTTTGGGAGTAGGGCGTGATTGTTGTTGTGTAATCTTGATAAATTTATAGTGATCAATGTTTATAATTCTCATGGCCATCTTATTCATTGGTGTTATTCAGCATGTTTATCCTGCTCATCCGTTATCAAAATACAGTTGAAAATGTAATTGCTGATAGTGGCTTTACAAACTTATGACCAGTTATCAAAATCATTTCCCGTCTTTTTGGCATAAGAAACTGAAATTGCATTTTTATTTGGTAGGCTCAAGAGGGTGCTGCTGTTTCTGGCGTTTTGGCAGTGATGACTTTGGGAATGTAAGTTGATAAATTATGAATAGTTTCTTAGCAACTTGGAGAAATGGTATCTCTTGATATATCACTGGACAGGTTTTATGCTGCAGTAGCCAGGACTGCTTTCAAGGGTGATGGCCAACAGAGCTTGCATCATTTTTGGTATGCTTAATGCTCATTTGTTTCATCTAAGCAGTCTCTCTCTCTATTTAAAGGCTACAAGGGTCAAAGTAATGCATGTCTTTTTTGATGATTATGTTCCTTAAGAAAGAAAAAATGACGAGAAACTGTTGTGTTAATCCATTAGAAACCATTTACCTCACATGATGAGTTTGGTTTTAGCATATAGTAAAAGTTTGGATTATTAATTCAAGTTAAATATTTTTTGGGGAGATTATCTTGTAGAAAACTATATCTTGTACTTGGTCTGCATGTGTTTGCTTTTAAACATTGATTCACCACTCTTTAATAGATTAAATTATTTTAACACCGTTGAAAAGGTGAGGTAGGAGATGAGAAAGACAAAAGTAGAAATTTGCTGAAGATTAAAGAATCTAGGTAGCGAATCTGACAGTACACTTTCAATCTTAAGAAAGGATAAATAGAGTGACAAGAATTATCTCTCTTAACTTCTACGAGTATATTTTGAGATATTATATATTCATAGGAGAAATGGTGCATTAGTATATCGCAAGAGCATAGTGGATGTATTTACATGGGCTCTTAATATTTTCAAATATGTTTGTTTGAGGCGGACTGCAAAAGACCTGAGATGCTACACTTTTAAAATCAACAGATGGTTTATTTATTGCTTGCTGCTACTAATATAACCTTTTTCCTAATTAGAGCCAAGACAGTTTTAAATTTCTGACAGTCACTGCAGAAACTGAAGATAACAGATACATTCTGAAAGGAAACCTGAAAGTAATATAGGCATCTGCTGATGCCAGAACATGAGTGGGATTGATAATCCTAATGAATAAATTTCTTGTTATCATATGAATGGAACTTTCCAACAAGATTGCATGTTTAATCCATTTCACATAATTTTTTTTCTTTCCAGGGAAATGGTTGCTTATATTGCAAATACATTGATTTTCATCTTAAGGTAATAAATCAGTTTACCATATCCTTAAGCTGTAGCTATACTTCATGTATGCTTGGATGGATTTAAAGTCTAAATTTATTTTTTGTTAGATGTCAATGATTATGTTATTGAGACAGGAAAAGCATAAATAAAACCACAAGGTGTTGATGAAACTAGTTGACATCATAAAACCGATATGAAAATCGTGATGCACAAGCCCTTTAATCCACACTTTCTTTCCAGTCTGGGAATGAGATTAGCGGAGAATGTTTGTTGTGTTTGCGATATTTAATAACTACATTAGGTAAAAAAGAACATAAAGGACTGCCAATCAGCTCAACAAAGGGGAGCAGTATGCTCTATGCTTTGGATGATTGAATTGTTGAATTAAATTTGAATTTTGTCTTTTATGTTCAATTATCAGAAGAAGAAAAATCCTTTAAGTACATTGCATCTTTTCTGCCTAATGCCTATTCCACGTAGAATGAGACTTTAGCCTTTACAAAAAGTTATCATTGTTGATTGTTAATTCCGAAAATGTTTATTTGCTAAAGAATACTTGTCTTTTTGGCTGAGGGAGATAAAGGAAACTATAACATCCAGTGGAGACTATCCATTTAACTGAGCCATGAGATTGTCAGAGTCATCATATACCTTTTCAGTTCAATACTAAACCGTTGTCATTGGGGATCACACTAACTGATGAGGCATACCATTCAATTACTTTGACTTGAGCTATTCTGCTTGTAATTGTTGTTGTTGTTGTATATTTTTTGGCTTCTATCTTGTTGCTATTTTAGAGTATAGTATTCATAATTAATTGCGAGATTCATTAAAGTCTGATGCTCTTTTTCCTTTGCAGTGGTGTTGTTATAGCAGAAGGTGTTCTGAGCAGTGGCAATACTTTTCATAGACATGGTATTTTCACTTTTAAACTACACATCCCTACATGTATACAATACACTGTTTCCTTTTACAACAAAACTCATGCATGACTGATATACAACTTGCATACTGTGATTTACTGGTAGCTAGCCTTGAGCTAGTTCAAAAGGGTCGGTAATGTAGAAGAGAAGGTTTTGCATTTTATGTATTGGTTATATGTTTATTAGTTGTTGAAATATTACTAATTTACTTAGAAAACTATCTAATAATTATGAGAATGACTTGAGGTTCAACCCATGAGATTGTAATTATATTCCTATTTAGTGCATGTTTTGTGTATAAATAGCCTTGAAGCAACATAAAATTTATCATAGCCTTGTACACCCTTGAGTTGCATATACATAAGTTAACCTAGATTTAATCTCCTATGGTTCCTCATCCCTTTTTAGTTTTCTTAGATATTCTTCTTCTTTAAATTCTGATATTACAGATTGATTCGAATTTCATTAACATTGATAAATGTTATGGAATATATTACGGGTCCCAGGTCCCACGCACTTGAGCTGTTGGTGGAAGGCCATTGTGAACATGTGAAAACCCACCCAAAAGGTCATAAGGTTCTTGAAGACCCTTTTTGATAAGCTAACATGGTTGGAAGTTCACTTAAAGTCCACCAAGCAATACAGGACCTTTAGGGTTGATTGATCAAGGCTCAAAGCCTTAGAAGTCAGCCAAAATCAGCCTGGTATACCTTGTGGCTTTGGAAGACTGGATTTAAAGGATGGAATTTAGAGTGCCAAATAAAAATAAAATAAAATAAAATTTTGGTAACTCAAATAGATAAAATTAAAGGTGAAGCATTGAAATAAAAAAATAGCAAATGGTAGGGGACAAAAAATATATAGTTTTATTTTTGCTTATTTTATTTTTGGAATTTTTGAATGTCAAATGTGTGGGATATTTGATTATCAATCATTACGCTATTAATTTTTTTGAAATAAAATTCCTTACTATATATTTTGGTCATAATTAGGAAATTTTTGATTATATGAATTTAGCAACATGTGATATGCATATGTTGCTATAATTGAATAAACAAGATCATCTTTGCCTGCTCATGAATGTGATAGTAATACCATTTGGTCTTGGGTTCAAATGCTACCTTCCATGACATCAATGAGTGTAATGGCTTGGACTGACCTGTTTCAACATGTATGGGGTTCATCAGGTCAATTTCCTAACTGGTCTCCCTTGGTCAATTACTTTACCAGTTCAAGTTTTTATAACTGACCTGGCTCAATGGTTAGGTGCCCAAGTTTCTGTTCCAAGCAATTTGGTAGGACTAGATTTAAGAATATACGAGTCTTTTATGTCTGATACTCTGATGCATATCTGAATTTTATTAATTCTCTGTTATTATAATGGTAACAAGTCTGATAATCATGGATTCTTGTTAGTGATGCATTATTACTAGATCTTTTTAAGTGTAAAGCTAAGGATATGAAGAGCGATGCAGTTTTTGGCATTTAATGTGATGGTTTAAAAAAAGTGATATAACACTCACCACGAGGTGCCACATTAGTTAGTAAAGACTTTCAAATTTTTTTTTTATTATGTCCAGCACTATTCATATTTTTTTAAAGGTCAATATACACGTGTCTTGGTCTTTTTTCAGCGCATACATGGGGCTACCTATTTCTTCTATACAGTTTTGTGCTACTATCCCGGTTCATAGTTGTTGGAGCATTGTATCCAATTTTACGATATTTTGGTTATGGTTTGGATTGGAAGGAAGCTATCATTGTCATATGGTCAGGTCTTCGAGGGGCTGTTGCATTATCACTTTCATTATCTGTTAAGGCAAGTTTTCATTGATTTATCTGTTAAGGCAAGCATTATCTGTTAAGGCAAGTTTTCATTGATTCACCTAGCTATTTAATTTTCTATTCCATGCTTCTGTAACATAATATCTCCATGCATTCTTTGATTTAATTCTTTTGGATCCTTGTTTATGTTTGAAATTCCTCACTGACCATGAGATTGTAAATGCGCGAGCACAGAGTGTGTTTTTGAAACAAAAGGTTCTTCATAGCTCCCATGACCTAAGATGACTTACATGACACATTTATTCCAAGCATATAGATGGTTGATGTCCATCCAAAGCTTTCTGAAGAAAATTGTGTCCATAAAGCTCTCTATCATATCTAAGCTTCTTTCGTGCCGTAATTTACTTCTAATGATATTTACTTGTATGTATCAGCGCACTAGTGACAGCTCAGTTTATCTCAGTTCTGATACAGGAACCTTGGTGAGTTCGTTGAATATACAAACTATTTTATTTATTTGTTCCTTGAATTTATATCGAGTCCTCTGTCAAATATAGGCATCAGACCATTTCAAGAATATAGAAATTTAATAGAGTAACTGATTTTTTGCAATTTGATTGATGCTTTATTCTCCACTGTTACAGTTTGTTTTCTTCACTGGTGGAATCGTATTTCTGACGCTTATTGTGAATGGGTCAACTACACAGTTTATTTTACATCTTCTAGGTATGGATAAGCTATCAGCTACCAAGGTGAGGTTTACATTAATGTCTATAAAAGAAACTTCAATTTGAATCCGATATTCTGAAATCAGTGATGTTTGTGATTTTGTTCTATACACAACATTGATATACCTATCTCATGGTGGACGAAGCAGTAATTCTAGGATTATTGCCTAATTAAGTTTTTTTTTTATCAATTATTAGGAATCTTTGTGAATGTCATATTAAAGTCATCATATGGCAATTCAAATTATTTCCTATTAGTTGGAGCGAAATTCATTTTTTTCAATTTAAAATTTCTATTCCTTTTTTGTTTGGGTATTTGGTTTATATTTAAGAGCACCTATTGTCATGCTTGAGTAAAATTTATTTTGATTATTGGTAGTTGATTAGAGAGAATGGAGACTGAAGTCATCCCAATTGTTCTTCTAGCTTTCCATTTCCTTTATTTTCTTCCTTCTCCAATTCTCTTTGCTTCTATTTAAGGACCACTTTGAATAAATAAATAAACGCCAATATATAAAGTTTAGGTAAAGTGAGATGGCAGAAATAGGAACTACAATTAAAGGCATACGAAGTTGGTCATCTTGTCCTGTATGAGGGAGTGAGTCAGGGACAACATGGAAGTTAGGTCGGGCAAAAGCCTAGCATTGACACGACAGGTAAGGAAAGGGTGCACTAGCGTGCTAGGACCAGTTAGCCCTGGGAGCTCTCGTCATTGTCTTAACTCGCAAGTCTGAACCCCAGCTGCTTGTTCTTGTGTCCATACGTTCAACAACTCGAGGCCCCCCTTTCTTAAATTTGGTTATGGTACACCATGCCCCACTGACAATCTAAATCAATATGACTTTTAGTTAGTACAGCATAGTCTGATGATTTCTGGAAAATACAACAGGCTTCTGTACTATGGTATGAGGACAGTTGATAGATTTATATAGTATTAGATTGAAAGCAAATGGCACCATGCCATTCAGCTTGGGCAAGCATGAGCTTTTCTTAACTAGATTGACCTTAACTACCAAGGTCCATTTCAACTTGTGAGTAAAAAAAAAAAATGTTACCATTTTTCTTTTAGGGAGTTATTAGTCTTTGGATTCCAACTAAGCATGCATTACATAAAATATTTTAATTTTTATAAATATTTAATTTCAAAGTTAGTTAAGTAATATCTGATTGGTTTCAACATGTAAAAGGTAGCAAAATTGTGTTGATTTGCTTCCTATACCCAATTACAGACCAATAACACAAAAATAATCAAGCAGCTTTTTATACCCTTTTCTTGGAAAGGAAACGAAATGGCTGCTGTCAAATCAAAAGCTTGCATTTGAGAGGAAAATGCTGCAAATCATGTGTTTGTACAACTTGTTGATTGTCCTTATCAAGGATTCTACCTTTGGAAATACACATAAAAACAGCTGCTTCATCTACCAAGTCTTGGATTTGGGCAAAAAAGACACGGTCTTCAGATTTAGATTCCCTAGACAACTTGTTTTGAGCTCGTGCATCGATCTTCCTTGATTGACGAGGACTTGCCCTCAAGTCCAAATCTTCGCGATCCTCATGATATGGAGAGATATTAGCAACACTGGAGGTGGTGAAACTTCACAACAAGAAGTTTCTTCTAAAATGTTGCAACCAATAGCTTGTCCATTCTTGTTTTGTTATTTCATCCATTATTTGCCAATTTTGTTTTTATCTCATCCATAGTTGATTCTATTGATGTAACCTTGACTTTGAAGAATTGAAATTCTTCAGGAACCATTTCAAACTGAGGAAATTTCAAGATGATGACTAGGAATATGGTATATGCTAGAAACAAAGTTCAAGAGGGGAGGGAAGGAATCACTTAGTTCTGATGACAATTTAATGTAGGAAACTTTGGATTTGCCCCATTAAAGATTTGTGGTAAACGAGTGTTTAGAGTATATAGGTTTGAAATAAGGTTGTAAAGAGCTCCAAAGACGAGGCTTTATTTTGAGAATTGGAGTCTTATTCTTTAATTTATTATTTCTATTTATTAAGTTGCTATCCAAATCAAATTAGGATTAGTTATGATAAGTCTAGTTTGTTATTCTTATTTAGTCCTAGTCCAGTTAGGAGTTTTATCTTTTGAAATAGGATATAGCTGTGGTTATGTGTCCCACAAAGGATTTAGATTTAAATAATTAAGATTTGAGTCTGGAATTAGGGTTAGTGTTTGATGTGTGTGGAATTGCAATTGATTAAGGTTTTGTTTTATGAGTATTGGGAATTTTGTTTTAGGTGTGAATGCTGTCTCAGTGGGGGAAGAGGTGAATTGGACTGAAATTAAAATTTCAAACCTGTAAAACAAAAAACTTTTGAACAAAATATAAGTGTAAAGATATAGATGTAACCGGGATTCCCATAGGCACATAAACAGTTCAAACAGACAGAGAGAGGTTAACTAGTATACCAGTAGGTAGCATGAGTGGTAACTTAAGAAAAATTAGGCTCAACAATATGTCAAACTTGCTCAAAAGACAATTAGAAGATTACATGAATAAACAAACAAAGCAGCACAAAAATAAATAGAGTCGAGGGTAGAGAAGATGAAACTCGAGAATTTATAGTGATTCTGCTAAAACTTTCAAGTACATTCACTTCCCAAGGGTTCTCCTTGAGAATTGCTGGATTGAAGTCAGAAATTCCTCAGTCACAACTTAATCTTGCAGACTTCTATCCCTAGCATATCTAATGCAATCGCAATCATGTAAGATATCTACACTTTTCCTTCTCACTACTAGAAAGGGACAGTAAAATTGATGTTTGCTCAATCGATAGCACAAGGTTTTAAGTTGATCTTTCTAGAGAATCTGCTCTATTTGCTTCGAATTTCTCTGTTTATGTACAGCCATTTTTTATTTGAATTTTGTAGAAAATATAGGCTTCCAAAAATATCATCATTGATGTTCTTGAATGATATAAATCTTGATGATTTTGTTTAGCATTTAATATGGTTCCAACAAAAAAGCAGACCATGAATGTAGCTATTTATTTTTTCAGAATCCTTTCTCACAACAGTAAAAAGAACTTGGAACACCCCCCCTGTAGGCACCAAAAGATCCTTGTGGTTCTAACCTAAGTAGGAAATAGAACATCAAATAAGAAAAGAAAAATTACAAGTATTTGAAAACTCCTAATTAACATTTGAATGAATATACTAAGATTCCTAGATGGTAATATCTCTTAGGAAGATGAATTCCTTAATGAAATAGGCTTTCAAGAAATACCAAAAAACAAAATTTCGATTTAAAATATTTTATCAATTTTTTTGTATTTTGGATGCATCATCTCTATAAATGGAGTTGTGTTCTCTTATTTTTGCTGTAGTTGAGGGATGGAATAAAAGTTTTAGAGTTATTTTGAATCCGTGGTGCCTAGAGGTTTCCTCCTTCTCTTATTCTTCTTCTTGTTCTTCTCTTCTTTTTTCTTGTTTAAAAGCGCCGCTACTACAGCACCCCAAAAAATCCTAGCTGCCACAAGTTTTTGGCGGGACACAAGTCAAAACTTGTCCTTCATCAATACCACTCCCATGTTAAAACCTTTAGTACTAGACGAATACCTTGTTAAATTCTACTGATATGCTTGTTATTCCTGGGATTTAGCCTGGTTTAAGGTCAATAGATTGGAACTGATTTCCTCGTGTCCAACTTTGTTGCCCCTACACCAGATCTAAACTGTTCCATTACCATCATAAATTTTGTTAACACCGGTTCCCTGACCACTTTCCAGCGACTTTTTACTTTTATTGCTCTGCCAATACCTTGTTGCCCCTGAAGGTCAGCAAGGAATTCAACCTTTCTGGCCTATGTTACCACTCTACTTGAATGAACCAGCTTAATGGCTGGGTTGAGTCTTCTTATGGGCCTTAGTGAAAAACAGATAAGATCTATGTTAGAAACTGTGGAGACAATAAAATAAGGTAGAAGAAACGCTTCAATAAAGTTCAGAAAGCTGTCGGGCACATAGAAGTCTCATAAATTTATCACAATGATTGTGAAGAAAAGCATCCAGGAACAACACCACAATTGCAGAAACAGCTAACTCTCTAGAAAATGAAGAAGAGACTGTTGAGAAATGCTCTCTTGGAAAGGCTGCAGAAAGTCTGGAGATGATTAACCTAATTTTATTACTAAAATGAAGAACAGATCGAGGCCAGCACATTAAGATTAAAATTGAGGCTGGATTTTTCCGAATCTCTAATTTTATGATTCATAATTAATCTGAGTTTTGAAATGCAAGGATGATTAACCTCTTCAATAAAGAAG